GCTATGAATATTATCGATAAGATACGATCATGCCCAACCCTAGGTCCCATTGGCACTCCGAACTGAATGACGCAGTTTTTGTCATTCAACTGCGCCAATGAGAACCGATTTCAGCAGTTTGGAGGGAGTATGTAGAGGCCTTAAGGTATGAGTTTTTTGTTTTGTTTTGTTTTGTTTTGTTTTGTTTTTGGGGAGGGCGGTATGGTTGGTTATTAACTGGTAATGGCTGGGTTTAGCGTAGGRGTCAGGGTTAGGCTACAGAAATTAATGCAAGTTGATAATGTCCTTAAATAAGAATAGAAAAAACTTGTTTTTGTTAGCAAAATATCTTGTGAACCAGTGAATGAATTTTTAGCAAAACTCCGAAAGTAATCGCTGGTTGTACATCTACACTAAATAAAGTAATTCAACATGGCTGCCACATTCTATTAACATTAAGAAACAAAAAACTGACTCGTAATTAATTTAATTTTTACAGACATTGAGCTAAAAGTTGGTTTGGTCATAGCTGGACATCATCTTAAACAAACGCTACGCATTACACAATATTTTTATTGGAAACTTTTGCATTAACTGCTGTCATCAACACAAACCACTGCAGCAGATATGATTTTGGTCATTATTTTAACAAAATCTAAATATTTGTGCAACATAAGCAGATATTTAACAAACTGTAGAAGAATTTGCACACTAATCTATAAAACAACATTGTTGGTAAGAACAAATTAAATTGTGAGCTCCAGCGAGCAGGTTATAGCAGCTGCTGTGGCATCTTTATTTTCCTACATGATAACAGATTAACAAGCGTGGTTGATTGTTTCCTTCTTAAAGCAGCTGGCTGTTATTTTATCACGATACTGGGATAACATTTTAAACCACCAGATTATCTGTAGATTTATTTTGAAGGAGTCAGATATTCTTGCAATTTTTTAAAAGTTGTCTTAATCACTAGTTCTCCAGATTTTACAGTTTTTTTTTTAAATAGTTGTTTTTTTGTTTTGGCTGTTTTTTCTCTCAGTTTCTGATCAGTCATTGCACCACCATGGCAACATGTTTAGCTGTTTGTGCGTAAAATGGGTTCAATGTGAAAACAAAAAGAAGTGCCAGGCCTGAAAGAAAACTMTCTGCAGCTGATGATCATTATCTGAATCTTTTTGTTGCGAAACAGAAAAGACTTCAGCACCGACTTGAAGCAGGAGCTCAGAGATGCATCGTCTTTTCAGTTAACAGCTTTTTAGGAATCAACTTGTTGGTGCTAAAATTCTACTTTTTGTGTCAAATTGTGTTTTTGTTTTGTGTTGTTGTTTTGTGTGTTCAACTTAAGAACTAAGAAGATGTTGTTAATGTAACAGGCTGGTGGTAAATGACCTAAAACTGTAGTATAAAATGAGCACATGTAATCTCTGGGGTCTGTGGTTTTGTAATTCTGAGGTTGCAGGTCCGAGTCAGGAAGGTTAACCAACGTAAAACAATTACAGAATCTTTTGTTATGGCGACCCCTGCAGAGGGGGAGCAGCCGAAGAAAAACCTGTTGAAGGCAGTGGTTTGTCACTTGTCAACACGTCTTGTTCATCTTTTGACTAAAGGAGCATTTTTGTGACTGACTGGTTTATAGGTTTAAAGTGCTGTACAAAAACATAAACATCATTATGACACCTGCATGCAATTTTTATTAATTTTTTATTTTTTCAGAGATTTTTGGTCAACCGTAGCACAGAAACGACTGCACAAATCAGCGTAAAATTTGGTAAGAATATAGATGTTTCACAATAGACCCCATATTTGAGGAGGGGGCTCCATCTGAAAAGGGGGTGTCTGGACATACAAAACTCTTATAGCTCAAAAACTATTCAACATAGGAGCTTTAGATTTTTTATTTTTATTTATTTATTTATTTTTTGGTGTGATGAAGGCTTATCCATCTGGCTCACCAATGAGCATCCCCTACCACCCCCTCTGGACTCCCACCCAAAACAATAAATCTGTTCTTCTGACTTTTGAGTTCTGCTGCATTGGTGCTTTGCAAATGTGCGGTGATCATACATGCCACAGCTATGCAGTATCTAGTTTTAATTGGAGGGGAAAGCAGCCAAAGTTGAAAGAAAACTTTCTGAAAGTCTGATCAAATATTAMTCAAGATTACAAGATAATCTGTGTCTTTGAACTGAAAAAGTAAAGCAGTGCAGGAGATGACTTAAGACTTTTGCACAGTCCTGTACATTACCAGTCATGATTTTCAGAACATGAACTAGTTTGTTATGTAGGTTTGTCCAAATTTTAAGTTGAGCTTCATTTGAGGATGYCCAAAGCAATTAACCACTTGTTAAGCATGTATGTTATTTACTAAAACAAAAGYGAGACAAGTTGGCTTGTTCCACTCGTCTAGTCTTTGTAAAACGTTCACTTAAAACAAAGTTTTATTTAGACTTTCACACAGAATAAATAAAAGTATTCCTTGAAAGAATGCATATTACCTGCCGCTTCCTTCACACACTTTTAAACAAAATCATCTTGTGTTGAGAAATGAGAGAATTGTAACCATTTGACCAAACCTGGGAAATAATAGTGGTTCTTGAGATATTTTGCTAACAGTGTTGATTTTTATAAAAACTAATGACTTTGCACAGTGAGTTTGTATTGTCAATGACACTCAGCTACCATCATAGGCTCAGTATCTGTAAATTAGRCTGAGTTGAACCATTATAGCCATCTTGAATCAGTTTGATTCCAATCAGCTGCAGATCATTAGAATCCATCAGGTGGTGCATGCAATATTTTGCTAACAGGCAAACAAAAACACACAGGCCTCTGTGTGATAAACAAGTTCCCACTCCATGTGTTTATCAAACTTTTCAACTTTTTCTTGATTTTCTGACTGCTCTTATTTGAAAACCTTTCAGTCTCGCGACTCTTTATCTAAAATGAACTTCTGATCAGAAAAGACCACAATCAGCTTTTATAAAACCTTATTTCAGGCTCTCTGTTCAAGAGGTTTGTTGTTCCTCTGGGTCTGATGAGTGTCGGAGCGTCGGTGTGTTACCCAGTTCAAGCTGTGGCTGTGCTTAAGGTAACACCATTTTTTTAAAAAGGTGACACTAGTTTGTTCTTCTGCTGTGATTTTGTTAATGCATTCAGGTGGGGTTGTTTTTGCAGCTTTAATTTTGTTCTGTGTTTTGTGTCGTGAAGGTGACAGGAAAGAGCATGTATGCTGTAGGACAGTGGAGCCGTGCTGCAGCAACGTCTCTGCTCTCCACCAAGGAGTCTGCTGCTAAACACACACAGGTTTGAAAAGTTTTTTTTCTGCATTATGATAATTGTGTGGATTTTTGCAACTAGCTAAAAAAAAACATCACATTTCAAACATTTTTAAATCGTTTGTAACTGAAACAAAAGCACTTCTTCAGTTTATAAAATGGCAAATTGTTTCCCACTTACGGATTTCCTCTTTACGTTATTACTCACTTTAAAAAATCCCCTTTGTGTTTTCATCCTCTGTGGTTGCACTCTGCCCTTTGACAATCCTTGTATCTCTGTATCATCTTTTASTGTTCTGTCACTCATGTTTTATTGCCTGGAAAAAGGATGGAAGTTCTTGTTTGTTCTTAACATATTTGACCCAGATTTTTCCAGAAAACTAAACAACAAATACTGGTTTTAGTTGATAGAACGTGATCTGAAAAAAAAGAAACTTGACTCTCTTCCACAGTTGCAGTTGTTAAAAGCTGTAGGTCTCACACATGAAGCTACTTTTTCTTCAAGACAAAACCAAAACTGGTCCGGTTGGTTCTGTTGATATCCACCAGTGTTTAAGTGACTGACTTAGCTTTTGTCTGATTTGTAATTGTWATGTTTTAACCCCGTCTGGATAGGCCTGTCATGATAACAAATTTTGCTGGGCGATTAACTGTCTCAAAAATTATTGCGATAAGCAATAATATTGCCTGGTGACCGTTTTACAACTAATAATTATAAAAGCGTAATATGTAAGTGTAATAAATCAATAAACTTTAATTTTAAAAGAATGTTTAACAAAGTGGACTCTCAGTCTCTAACAAAAAATGCACTTGAATAAAAAAAAACAAAGAACAACAAAATGTAAATTAAACACCACACACAACTAAGACAGTAAATAAACAATATTAAAGAGCAGCATCTCTTTAGAGATGAAGCAAACTACACAGCCTGGTGAGGACCCACTGTTTCTTATGGGGACATAAGCCCAGTTCACATCCTATGTAAAGTTTAGGCTAGGTTTAGGGTCAAATGGTAATAGAAAATACTGGTAAATGAATGAAAGTCAATGCAAAGTCCCCATGAGGATAGAAGAACAAACGTGTCTATGTGTGTGTGTGAGGAGGGGACAGTCAGTGAGGGGACAAGCAGAGCGCTGCGGGGAGGAAATCAGACAGTTCAGAGTTTTCCTCATGAGTTGTTGGGACAGCTACAGGTTTTTTGGGTGTTTTGTTAAAACACAGATGGTGCGTTTAAGTTTCCTGTTATTTTTGGGAGCTACAGGTAAAGTCTTGATGAGTTTGTCGCAGGTCTGGGGGAGTTTCAGCCCCCACCCCTCCCCCACCCCTTCTCCTCTCTCTCTCTGTGTCTCCCCGCAGCGAATTTCAGGCTCTGCAATTGCTCCGACACTGCAGCAGCCGCGTTCTGCTTTGAAACGTTTCTTTAGTTTGTTATTGCTACGAGCTCTCATGCTAACGCGAGAGTTCACTCCTCCCACACTAAGAAAACAGGAGGGGAGGAGTCAGCTGAGCTCCTGTGCAGCGGAGCACAGAGAGGGAGAGAGACGAAGTAGACCAACAAGCAGGAAAATGAAACTTATCATCCTCCTTTTTTTTTTTTTTACTGATCTCAAAATAACTTATCATGCGATTAATTGATTTATTGACTATCGCGACAGGACTACGTCTGGATAATTTGTCGGAATAATGTCGAAATCGCAGCTATATTAATAAATATATGGATATATTTCTACACAAATGCTGTCAGAATGTATTGCTCTGTTTGGGAAGCAGATAGAAACATGTAGCATGAAGCATATGTGTACACACACGATACACGTGGATTTTATTTTGAAATCAGAAGTTTCAGAAAGCCGACAGCGAGACAGTTTAAACATGGATAACTAAAGCCTTTATATCGTTGTTTTCAGCTGTGTTTGGAGTTCGTCTTTCACAGAATTAATTATTTTTTGCTGTGACTTCCACACTTATCACTGAATTTATCGCGCCATCTCCTTCCTGCACGTCTGTCGGACTGGAGTGGAGGTAGTATAAACTGGACTTGAAACGCACAGCTGTGACCTGCGCACCGCAGTGGAGCGGAGCCRTTACGCATGTAATGTAAATTAGGGGTTACATACTTAGTCCAAAGCTGAACAGTCGACTCCCAGTCAYGTGGTGGYGGGACATTTGTTTTCACACACYTCTTTCATTGCACAGTGCACCTAGAAAACCCCTCCCACTGTTGTACACGTCAGAGCACGGGGRTCTTACCACTCGAGTCTCCACTCCGATATCTGCTGTTTAGCCACTAAACTGTCACAAATAAAGCACCRCACTTATGGCAGACAGATTCCATCAAGCACAACGTCTTTCCATCCAGGAGTTTTTGGCCATTTGAATCTATTAGTGTCTGGAAAAGTCGTATAGACAAACTTTCTGACTGCCTCAGAGCGCCGCTCCTCAGAACTCTCAGTGCTGTTTGGACCCACAACAACCGGCTTCTGGAAGCGGAGTATGAAGTAAAATGCCACCGTTGCTGTCTGATGTCTTTCTGCATAAACAAACGCCCACAAACATCTAAGGAATCACACAATACTCGGCTCACTTGTGTTGCGGAGGGGGTGAGCAAAGCTGCACCGCAAACAAAATGATGCAATTTTTTGCCACACAACTACGTCAACAAGAGACAATTTTGCTGCTTTGGTTGGAGTATGCAGGGTCSTTAAGACAAATTTCATTTTTTGACTCAACTTATTTCTCTACTTACTACTGAACGTAGTAAACACAACAATAACAACAACCCAGTCACTGTGTATTTCCCTCAATACATTGTGTACCATCTTTGCTTCAAACCTCAGCTATAGCTGTTTGTCTGTCAGTAAAATATGTCATGAACCACTGGGTGGATTTAGATAAAACTCTCAAAGTAATTAACTTTACTGCTAATCAACCTTAGCCTTCACAAAATGGCTATACAGTAAATGYTAACTAATACTGAGGTAAAACTTTGAGTTGGTAGCTCTCAGGCACCCAAAACATAAAACCAACTACAAACGAATCACACACGGTATGCTTCACTGGATTTTTTTCTTTTTTTACACAATTATTGTTTAAAGTTTGACCAAAAYGGCTAAACCTCTATCCTTTCTTATCATAGGATGATTTTAGTCTTAAACTCTGACATGAAAGGCAGCGAGTGATATGAAAGTGTTTGTTTTTCACTTATCAAATGTTAGTCAGCTACAGATCAGAGTCCAGCCTCTTCGGCTCAGAGCCAAGTGGAGATCCAGTTGGAACCAGCCGAGTCGGTTCCCGATGAGCCGGTCGTCTCTGTTACAGCAGAGGAAGAGTCGTCAGGATCACGAACAGAAACATCTCCCATCCAGTTCCTGACAGAGTCTGGCTCCGGTATTGTAGATATGGATCTCAGTTTCCATGTTTCTGTTGYGCACAGTCACATAGAAAAAAAGCTTCAGCTGCCAGTGATGGTGATGGTTTCCTCCCTGTCCAAGGTTCTTTGACCCAGTGGTTCCCGGTCCAAGCAGAGACCCCTTCTTTACCTGAGGAGGGGGTTACTGTTGGAAATGATGAGGGTTCAGATAGAAAACAAGCAGCAGACGATGTTTCAGACACGAGACCAGCTGACCCAACGTCAGATGTAGAAGTGGAGACGGTTCCAGGTGAGTCTGCCTGATGTGTTATAACAACATCACCTGCGCTCTTCAGGCCAGCAGGTAACAAAAATGTTCATTACAAATCAAAAAGCAGATGTTTTAGTAAAAATGGCTATAAATTGTTTACTTTGTATACTGTCGTCATACTTCAGATGGCATCAAATATCCATCAGCTGGCATCAAATGTTTATGCTGCTACAATAAAACCAGGTAAATGTTGGGTTTTTCACAGAAGCAGTTGTTGAAGCAGCTGATTGTGACCCTGCTGCTGAACCTGAGTTAGTTCCTGWTGTGGAGGCCACACCAACTCCTCCTCCTCCTCCTCAACAGCCCTCTACAGAAAACATCAAAGGTACTTTACATGTCCTCAAACCCTTAAAGACTCGTACAGCCTGCGTCACCACTGAGAATTACCAGAGCTATTTTCAGTCCTAAACACTGGAGATTAGTGTTGTATTTCCTCCTCATGTGTTTGTAATAAGCAGCAAATGATGACACTATTTTTCCATCCACTTATTTTGAAATTAAGATGTTATCAGAATGTACTTCATGTCTGTAAATGTGTTTTGGGTTCGTTTTACGTGGAAGCTGATAATCTAATTTACCAGATTTTTTTTTTCATTACAAGATTTTGCCCGTGAGTCAAAAAAAACAAAAACAACAACAATCTGATACGTTTAACGATACTGATTGTAATTTACTGTTTGGATCGATTACGCACGCCTCACCTACACATTCAGAGGAAACGGTGTGCTGATAAAAACCAACACCCACGGTCCTGAATGCTGACTTGCATTATATGATGGAAGAAAACCTGACAGGATGTTGTGGCTTTACCCTGCTATATTCAGCTCTCATTAAATTATTCAGACTTTTTAGATGCTTCTTCWAAGATTTTACCACAGATATTTCAGTGCTTCTGACTGAGATGCTGTGTCAATTTTCTTTCTCTTCCTCTAGAGGGCTCTGGTTTCAAGGCGGACCCCGCTCTCATGGACTTTGGCCAGTCCAGTCCCGAGGATGAAGACCTGTACAGCACTCGCAGCTAAGCCACGGCCGCCAGTCGCAGGAGAAAACCTCATTCCCCACCCTGCCACCTCAAATCTCATCACTCGGAGAAACACTGCAGCATTATGCAAACAAGCAGCCTCAGAAATGCTTTAATCAATGTTTCCTTTCTCATTCCGTCTGCCCACATCGCTTACATTTCCACAGAAAACATCCACGTACATTTGCATTGTAACCGCAGTACAATGAACTCCAGTACGCATAAATGGATCTGTTTGTATAAAAATTAAAACCTGGGAAAAAGAGACGAAAAAAAAAAAAACCACCCACAGATAAGTTTCAATTAGAAATGGCAGATTGTGGAAAAAGTTTCTGTTTGTGTGAAATGATGAGTTTCTGTGCTTGAATGTTCTGCAGCACAGATTGGTCTGTTCTGTTATTTATTGTAATCTAGCCCAGTTTGTAGGAAAACTACAGTAAAGTTTCCACCACCTGAAATGTTTTATGCTTTTTTTTGCTGCCATGAATCAGTCATGGTGAATATAAACTGACCTTTAAAATAAAAAAAAATCTTCAATGTCAAAGTAAAATCTAATTTCTAGAGTACATAATAAATAAATATTCACCATCTTTAAAGTGACTCGTTATTCGACTCTTAAGAAAGGTGACTGAAATGTACAAGACAGCCATTGGATACAAAAGGATTTCTAAGGCTGTATTCATCCCCAGGAGTTCTTTTGAGTCCATCTTCAAGAAACTGAAGGAATGTGGGGCGTGTAAATCTACCAAGAGCAAGCTGTTAAACTGAGTGCCTGCAACCTGTCAGCTCTGTGACGGAGTTAAAAGCTGCAGCAGGTGAGATGGGAGAAACTGTTACACAGACTAGAAAAATGTTTAGTCTCTAGTCCAGATTTACCACAAGTTTTCTTCAACTCTCTTTTTGATCCTCGGCCATAAACACTAGTCACTTACACCTTTTATTTCACGATGGCTTCAACAATACTTCAGGGGATGTTTAGAGCCTTGGAAATCCSTTTGTRWMCCACCACTGACGTGTACATTTCCATAATCTTTTCTCTGAGTTGAATCAGAACAGTCACATTAAAAGGGGGTAAKATTTATGCAATTACTTATTTTGCATAATTTACAGCTTTTATGCAGACATTTTATTTCACTCTGGTGTTGAATGTCTTTTTTTATGTTTTTTTTGAAAGACAGTTTATATTGAGCATGGCTGATCCATGACAGTAAAAGCAGAAAAGAGCCATGAGGTTGAATACTTTTTACAGGCACTGTGCTGCACATGTGTTGATGACTATAAGATGGACTTGTGACACTTCATATTGTTCTATCAGTGTCTTCATGTTAAGGAACTCAAATTAAAGATATATTTTTTCTTGAATTAACRGCTGGTCTTCTCAACTATTAAATCCATCTCAAAACATGACCCCAGCTGCTTACCTTTCACAAACTACTGAGAGCAGCGGATTCYTTTTACTCATTAAAACTCCATTAATGATTAATACAAACATGGGTCAATTGCTTGATATAAACACGTACAAGACTGTTTGATCTCTGTAATCATTTATTAGACACCAGCACAAACATATATAACTTGAGGCAATAGTGTCCATGATGGGTCACATTCAGATGCCTTGGGTTTATTTTACATGGACATTTCTGGTACCATCATGTACAACAGAGTCAAGTATAGGCCCGTGTCAATCAATCAACCTGCTATGATTGCTGTTACAGCAAAATGTGAGTCTAAAATTCTGGCACATATGTAGAATATTATATGCCAAGTATTGAAAAGAGTCAAAAAGAAAAAAATTGTATAGGTCTTCTGGACGGGTTCTTCTCTAATGAAACGTTTCGTCTCTCCTCCAAGAGACTTCTTCAGTCTGAGAGTTTCAGGCAAAATTCACTTTTAAGCCCTGCCTAAAAGCCTGAATTTTGCCTGAAACTCTCAGACTGAAGAAGTCTCTTGGAGGAGAGACGAAACGTTTCATTAGAGAAGAACCCGTCCAGAAGACCTATACAATTTTTTTCTTTTTAATTTTTTACCTGGATTACTGAGGTGCATCAGGACATTCTATTGCTCGGATTGAAACTGAATGTGCATAATTTGAAATTGAATACATTGGTCTGAAAAAGAATTTTACAGAATAGAAACAGAATTTAATGGTTTGAAACTGAATTTAAAGTTTTGTATTTGAATTAATTTGCTTTGAAACTGTATTTTGG